CTTACTTTGGAACCAAATGAGATGATCATGCTTATGTCTTCCTGATTTCTATTAACTTAACTACTTTGATATATTACATGTGTTTCATCCATCCTATGCTTTCCCTTGAGACGTAACTCTGTACATTCTCCAAGCCATATTTGTATTCCTATCCCATTCAGTGGTGAGACACCTGAGACTAAACAAAAATGTTGAAAATAGTGTCTCCATATTCTGTATCCAACCTATCTCAGTGTTAAAATGGTGATTTTCCAATGGTTTACCTACAGATTCAGGTAGGTACCTCTCAATATTCTCTTGGATCTGAGATCCCTTGCAGAAGTAGGCATTTTTGTTTTCTCTCTGAGATCTTGCATTCTTCTATTATATCTCATTGGGTTCCAATCACATCCTCTAACCTAGTAATGACTAAACTACCACTCTCTTTCATAGTCTCATCTTTAATATTGGTGGGCTTCTTTTTTATTTTCCATTTGTATTGTCAATTCTATCCTCTCAGAACACAACCTTTCTCCTAAAGAAATCCTTCCCTTCCTCCAGTTCAACTGACCTGTCTTTATTCATTTTTCACCCTCCCACTGCTTCCATTTTGACTTCAAGATCTAAATATATATTTGAAACAAATATAATTCCTACTTTATTTCCTCAGAAAACTTGACTCCTAGGGAAAGAAGAATCCAGGCATACCCTTTCAAAATACGCTTCCTATTCTTTGGGGTTATAATGGCATTGCTTCTCTCTACCCCAAACCCATATATCACAAACATTTGCATCCTCTTTTTATTTTCATGATTAAAAATCACCATTACTCTGTGATTGAACACAGACTGAGTCCCTGAAATTTCACTGTCAGGGCTTATATAGTCAACATATCTGGCACCAGCTTGGGACATAAATAGAAGGTGCCTATGGATACCCCTCATGAAAGAAAGACCTTGACCCCTCCCATAGACCTTTCTCTGGATGCAATTCAAATCAAGACAAAAGGGAACCAAATTGGGTGCAATTGATCTAATGCCACCTGCTAATCCCCAGCACAGTTTAAGGACTAGAATCTCCTAAACTTATGTTTTGAAGTTCACATGGAACTTATGCCATTCTACCTTAAAGTCCTTATCTACAATCATGGCTGACAATAAAGGCACAAATTGTTCCACTCAATAGTGCTTTTTCCTTCTGCAGAAAGTCTGTCTCAACTATATCTATGTGAATCAAGATCAGCCATAATGGCCTGTGCAGCCCACTTTTACAGAGTCATATGTCCAGTCCCTCTAAAAAGGTAGCTTGTGTATGGAAGCTAGTTACTATATGCTGCTAGGACTCAAAAAGGCCAAATAACTGAAGAGTCCAAGATCACTAAAGTGCTAAAGCCCTATGCCCTGGCACACAAGATGTCCCATCTCTGCACATCTTATTTTGGTTCCCTAATTCCAGTTAGAGTGCTATTTCTCAAGATACTTCTCAATGTATATTTGCATGTGTTGGGGCTTAAGGGAGAAAATCAATCATATCCCTTTCCTAGCTAAGTTCTCAAACAACTGAGTAATAGCTATAGGAATCAGACTAATGAGGATGAACATATCAGTATTTTGTTGATGAAGCTGTAACTATGGCCAGAATTGGGCTTTCTAACACAGTATCTCTCCCCCACCCCTCCCAATTCCTGATGTTGGGATTACCCTCCCAAAGGAGAATATACAAAGAAAACACTTACCTAGAGAGCTGCAAGGGCCATGGCTGCTCCAAAAGTGGAGACAGAGAGAGGTGCTCTTCAGACCTGCCTCTGGAAGGCAGGCCTGGGCCTCAGCAGGTGTACTTATTAGGTGAAAGCTGGATCTGAATGGACTGCATACACATTGCAGTCAAAGAGGTACAAAAGAAAGAACTTAGAGCGTGTGTGTGTGTGTATGTGTGGGCGCGTGTGTGTAAAATGACCCTCTTCCCTGTGTCTCCATCAGAGAACACAAACTTCCTTTGGGGAGAAGTGAGTAAGAGGTAGAAACAGGGGCCAAGAGTGGTATCCCAGTATGGTTCCCTACTTGGAGAAGAACAGGAAAATAGGAACAAGTGACAGATTCTTGTCCCCACGGTTGGCCTGTACTCTTCACACCTTCCCAGTGGAGCTTGGGGATCCATTTCCCTCACACCCAGATGTGTGTGTGTGAATGCGTGTCACATTCCAGCTTCCAACCCAGAATTCAGAAAAAGTCCTATCAGTAGATTCTGTTACTCGGTCATTCCTACATCAGAACTCAGGATGGCAGAGGTGGGGAAGGGCCCAGAGGTTCAGGCTGACCCCAACCAATCCCCAGACTCATTCAGTAATTGACCTCCATCTGTTTAACAAAAAGAAGGAAAATAAATACCAATAAAACTAGGAAGCCCCTTCCAAGACATTTCATCAATGACTGCTCTTCAAGAGCTGTTGGTTGCTGGAGTGAAAAGGGTAGTAATAACCAAGACTAAGAAGGACTAGCCTATAAATCTTGCCTCCATTATCTAGCTACTCTAAGTGTTTTGAGTGTCTCCCTCCCCACCATCCCAAGTCCTAGGAGAGGTCATTGGAAGACATGCCACACTTAGATTGTCAGAAGCCAGCCCCAAAGTCCCCAAGGTCGAAGAACCCAAATAAGGACACTGCTTGGGAGCTTGAGAATCAAAAGTTATTTATCAAAGGGTGGTTGGAAAAGCCAAGCTTTCTTGAGCCCAATTCCAGAACACTCAGTGGGAGTCTTTCTCCTATTAACTTCATTGTTCACCTACCCAATGGCAGATCTTCTACTGAAGGAGACAAAGGGGAAATGACAGTCTTCAAGGGGGCCTGGAGTGCCCTTCCTATCCAGTCTCAGCTGAGGAGACAAACAGAGCAAAGGGAGGACTCTTCCCCCAACTAAAACCCACCTCCACAATTGGGGGCCTCCTCTTCCCATATGTAGCTCAAAGAGGGCCCCACCCTCCATGTTTAGTCTGCACCAGGAAACACTGACTTCTTCAAAGTCACAGGGCATACAGTTTGGGTCCTTCTTATGGACATTTCCCTCACTTAGTAGAGACCCAATGTCAACTTTGCATCACTCACTCTCTCAAGGAAAACAGAATGCCCAGGACCAGAGGAAGAATAGAATTGGCAGTGAAAATTAATCCACCAGGTCAAAAGATAAAATCTCTCCCCAAATGCCAAAGAGACATTCCCACTCTAAATCCACATGGTGTGAAGGAGGGAATGGACTCAACCGGCTAAGAAAGGGGCTTTTAAGCTAAGCACAACAGGCATAGTGTTCAGCAGGGACTGGACATTTGAAGCAACCTAGAAGTGACAGGGAATGGGAAGGGAGGGAATACTGGTAGCAGGAAGGGAGAGTGGTGTCCTTTGATTAAGGGCCCAGAGAGAGATGAGGTGGGGTAACCAAGCCTGAGGGAAAGAGCCACTTAGAAGGCCAGATACCTAAATTCTATTCACGGCTTTTGCCAGCAACTCAGCATGAGACTTTGAACTTATCTAGGCTTCAGTGTCTTCATCTGCAAAACAGGGGAAAGCGGTTTATTTAACTAGATGCCTGTTATGGTCCTTTGAGATTATGGCACCCTCCACAAGATATTCAGGAGGGGGGCGCCGGGGCCTTACCAGAGCAGGAAATTCCTTTCAGCCCCATCTCTAGTAAAAAGGTCACATGTACACACATTCACACGTACATAAGCAGAGTGACCAACAACTTTGTTCATAGCAGCAGAGACACATATAGAAAAAATAAATACTGCTGATGCTTGATTCCTGCATTGGGGCAGAAGGGTCCTGAGGGTATAACTTGGAGGGACTTCAAGGTCAAGGGAGAAGGGTCCTCCTATTTGATAACAATTTTCACCTTACTGTTCCTTCCCCAAGTCCAAGTCCAGGGCAGCCAGATCTCTGGAGAAAGCCACTCTCATCTTCCCCTCCCCAAACCGTCAACTCATTTACTGCAAAAACAAAAATGCACAGATCCCAAGGGAAATAAACCCCTTGTTAGCCACTAAGAAATGAACAGAATCTACCACACCTGAGATTACTTGGACTGGGCAGCTGGAACCACACGCCCCTATTTCCCTGAATATTAACAATGATCCTGAAAGGTCTTGTTTTGGACCTATCTCACCCAAAGTCACTTGGGTGTGCCCTCTGGCTAAAAGGGGAACTAGCCTGGACCACTCTCTTATTTCTGGTACTTTCATGGTTGTTTCCAAAATTTTCAACCAATCTCACTGTGAGAGTGAGCCAGGAAGTTGCCCTCCCCAAGTAGGAATCCAAATGAGAAGAAAGGCTACGGCGCAAGTGCAGGGTTCCACACCACGCAACAGGACCTGCAAACAGACTCGCAACACTCCCCAGACACCAAGAAGCATCTCCCAGCCATACATTCACATGGACTCTTACATGGCCTCTCCTACCAGAGGTAGCTGGGGCAATTGGGGAGTGGAGGACATCAACCTCCCATCAACCTGGGATCCCTGTTTAAAAGATACTAAAAATAAATTAGTAAACATTGCTATTTACAGAAATAGAAATCATTTCTGTTTCCAAAGGCCTCTCACCATTCCAGTCCTGGACATTTCCAAGACTGCCACCCCTGAAACCCTCTCCAAGGTCCGCCCTGGCGGGTGGATAAGACACTAGAGTCCTTTGAGACTGGGAGCTCCTCAGGCACCTGAGAATTCCAGTTTCACATCTCTGGTTCCAGGGGAGAATCTTCAGGACTCTGGAGAGTACGGGGGTTCATCCCTTTTTCACCAGTTCCTGGGGGCTGTCTTGAGGCAACCCTCTCCCCTTTAGGTTGATATACGTGTTGTAAGAATTCCTGCTATTTTCGGGCCCCCAGTCCCTCCCCAGGGTCCAACGTGCCTCCCTGGACCCATCCTCCGAGCAGAGGAACCAGTCTGTGCCTTGGTCTAATGACTCTGGGAGAGAGGGTTGGGCAAGGAAAAGGCAGGGACAACGGTCTGGGCGATCGTCCTTGTGGGGATGACTAACAGCAATGACTGTCAGACAGGCAGGTGGTGAGGCTGGGCTCCTGGCCGGGGATGGAGGCGGAGCTGTCCACCAGGCTGGTGGGTTGGGGGTCGACTCGGGGAGTGCGACGACGCCCGCGGTACTCGATCATGTCAGGATGATAGGCTGGGTGGCGGCGAGCATGCTTGGTCAGATGGTCACTCCGGGAGAACTGCTTGGGACAGAGGGGGCAGGAGAAGCGCTTCTCGCCCGTGTGCGTCCTGTAGTGGCGGGCCAGCTCGTCGGAGCGCGTGAACTTCTTGTCGCAGTCGAGCCAGTCGCAGGAGAAAGGGCGCTCACCCGTGTGGGTGCGCTGGTGGGACTTCAGATGCGACGACTTGTAATAGGCTTTGTTGCAGCCCGGAAAGGGGCAGCGATGGCGCTTCGCTGCAGGTGTAACCGGCCTCCGACGAGGGACTGGACCTGTGGCGGGGGCGGGGCCC